CTTTCCCTTTCTCTTTCTCTTTCTTTTTCTCTTTCCCTATCCCGGCCCCGCTCCCTCTCCCTATCTCTCTCCCTTTCCTTCTCTATGTCCCTCTCTCTGTCCCTCTCTCTATCTCTCTCTCTGTCCCTCTCTCTGTCCTTCTCTCTGTCCCTCTCTTTGTCCCTTCCTCTGTCCTTTTCTCTGTCCTTTTCTCTATCCCTCTCGCGATCCTTATCCCTACCCTTGTCCCTGTCTCTATCCCCATTCCTATTCTTCTCGCGCTCCCTCTCCACAGGCACGGCCACAGCACCACCCATATCCGCATCCCCATCTCTATCCTTCCCCCCTTCCCCGCTTCCCTCCTCTTCATCCTTTGGCAAGAGCCCTTGCTCCTCCATGATCCCCTTTAGCATCCCTTCAATTTCCGCCCTCCTGGCCGCGAGTAGCTCTTCCACCGCCTTCTCTACATTAGAATACGTATCCCCTCGTAAAACTGTAGTTTCGATCAATTCCGCTGCCTTGCCCTTGTCCCTCGCAAGCAGACTTGGGTCGCGCTCGATCTCCGCACCGGCGATTTTCTCGAGGGCGGCTATGAAATGAAGCTTTGTGCCCTTCAAAGTACAGCTGCATTAGCAAAGCTGAAGGAGGAGCGGGGGGGGACCGAAAAGGGGGGGGATACTGTATCGGTGAAAGATTGGTATATATCCTTTCGTAAAGTGTCGAAATGGCCGCGCTTTTTGTAGGTTGTCTTGAGAAGATCGATTGTAGATTTTGCTTCTTCGGAGAGGATTGGCGCTGGGGGTAGGGATGGGTGTGGTGGTGGGAGGGTGGAGGTTGGGCGATGGTGATGGTGGTCGCGGTGGTGGTGCCCATTTGTTAGGGGAGAGTTGGAGGGGCGGTAGGAGTCTGACATTGAGTGTTGTGGTCACCGAAGGAGAGGCGGAGGTGGGAGGGCAGGCTTAACGGGGCTCTGGGAATCGACGGGTGGAACCGAGATTTGGGTGTGTGCGTGATGACTAAGCATAAGATGTCTTGGCCCACCTTTGCATGCGACGTCACTCGCTTTGTTGACTTGTCGAGGATGGGATTCAGTCCAAATTTATTTATTCTAGTATCGCCGAACCAGCATAATGTTACAACCAGCCACACTCTCAAAACCCACAGTGGTGGGAGAGCTTTTCCAGAGGATTGTGTGGGATTTATGACAGTGGAGTTCTCAGACCACGGTACCCCATGGTGCTTGCACTTGTAGGCCTTGCAAATTCTATTGAGCATCCTTGTTGTACCGTACAGGATATTGAATATATCATACCGTATTGTTAGAGGGGCTGGACTCTGTAAACCTATATCGAGACTATTGATCACAATAATACCAACTCCTCGATTTAGCATGCACCCGTGCCTGTTCCTCCGCTTGTATGATAGATACATATTTTGATACTGGTAGGTCCCTCTTCAGGCACCCTTTTCCCAAGCAGGGCCTATCATACTTAAAGAGAGTTCGGACGGCTGCACTAGAGAAAACCCCCGAGGTGGCTTGGCACGCCCATTACCGAAACCTGTGCAAAATATTTTTTCCCTTGCCCCAACCGTCAATTGAGCCCCGACGGCTCCTCCTCTTTCCCCCCCGCGCCCAAATACAGCTACCTCCATTCGTTCGTCCGCCTGCGCCAATTTTTTCGGGCGGTGGATCTCCTCCTTATGAATGGATTACACTCCGTCTCAATCTCCTCCAGCAAGAGATTCCGACTATGCCCCCCGGGCACCCGCGGGAAGGTGCTAGCTCTACGGCTCGCCCACAGTGCCCAGTATACTACGGGCCCGGCTTCAGCTCTACCGCCATCTCTATCAGCGGCCTCGAAGGGCTCCAAGAGGAACATCTCCGACGATTCGTGGGTGTTTTCACCGCTTGATACTAGCATCACGGGACTCACGCCGATCGCCATCCACCGGCGCCATAGATCCGTTAGAAAACTCCTACAGGCGATAGAGGGTAGGTCTGATCCGGCGATATGGCATCACTTCATACAGGTGCATAATCAAGGCCTCACGCATCAGTTATCTGCCGGAGAGTTCTCCTCGGTATTACTTTCGCTACGGCCGAGACGGTACCTATCCTTACGACCTCGGCATTACATGGACGAGTACGGCCGCGGACAAGTCCACAAAGTGAATTATAGTTTCAAAGAGTTCCGGTCGAGGCTGGGGATTGTCACCCAGGCGATGCAGCGGCACGGGTACCGGTTGGGCATCATCGAGTACTGCCATTTGCTGGACTGTGCGAGGGCCGGCGGTGACGTGAGTATGGCGGATGATCTCTGGCGTCAGATAGTCGCCCGGGAAGACCTGACGCCGGATACGTGGACTTATAACTGCTATGTTGCCGCAAAAGTCGGAACCATAGCTACCCAGCGGGGCGTCCGCATGTCCCAGTGGATGATGCAGAGCCGGCGGACCGTAACCGCGAAGCACATGCGACTGTTCGCATCACAAATGTACGCCCGAATGATCCGGGGGGCTGTGCATCCCAACAGCATGACCTTCGATCTCCTGATCATAGCTATGTCTCGCGCGGGGGATATGGGGGGTGTAAAGGAGTTGCTTATGAGAGTATGGGGCATGAACGTCAATGGCCTGGCGGAATCCGATAACAATCTGGGCTCTGAACCGCCTACCGTTTCCCCTGACTCCGACATATATCCTACGCAGCACACACTAGCCACATTCTCGATGTGCTTCGGTTCGAACAACGACATCGAGACAGCGATCAGAGTCGTCGACCATGTATCCCGTAGATATAAAGTCCCGATATCACTACCCGCCTGGATCAACCTGCTGAACTGGACATACACTCTCACTCGTCCGCCCGCGCGGGCCATGCCAGCTCAATCCGTGCTGGAAATCTGGGAAATCATGAGGGCACCGCCATACAACGTTAACCCGACGATAGAAATGTACGACTACCTCGTCCGGTCCCTCATCTCGCGGCAATACGTCTCCCCCGCAGAGGACAAGATGAGGGAAGCGGTGGGGATGTACGCCGATATACTCCAGCGCTCCGTAGACCTCGACAGGAGGTACGGCACCGCCGTCGGCGAAACAAGCTTCGATACAGCGGTCCGGCAGACCGAAGTGCTGAAGGAGATCGCTGTCGTCAAGAGGGAATTGCACCGCTTCCGGTCCATGATGCGGCGGTGGGTAGAGCTGTTGATTCTGGGAAAGGGCATGAATGCGGAGTACACGCGCAGGAAGGTGCCAGAGATCGTGGCGGCGTGGGCGCACTTCTTGGGCGGGAGGGCGGTCTACGCTGCTGACTCAGGATATATTGTGCTAGATCTTGGGCAGGACAAGGAGTGGGTCCCCCTACCGATTCGGCGGAGGAAGAGGCCATGGACACCGCTGGGGACTGGGGCCAAGGAAGTGGATTATCTAGACTAGATGGGTTGGATTGGGGGTAGTTTGGCGGCGTTATGGGAAGTGGAGCGATTAGAGGGGTTGGCTGTTATGATATATCGTTAAATGTTTAAAGGCGGGGGGGCATACCTGGATCTCTCTCTCTTTCCTCTTTTATTGGGGTTGGTTCAGCTGTACAGTTTTCCCATTTAGGTGGGGAATTGAATAGTGTCCTGAACCCGTCAATCATGGTTTTCGGTGGTATCGTAATGAAGAAGCCTAAAGGTATCATATTGTTCACTTTAACACAGACGCTAACCCAAACATTGCCCCAAGATACCGGAACTGTGCTGTAATCAGTACCCCTCCCTTTCTCCTACACCCCCCAATCCCTTAAGCACCTAACCTAAACCCAACTGTACCCAAAATACCAACTATACCCCCCAACAAGCAAACAGCTGCCCAGAACTGGCACCAAATTCATCTCAACGGCGGCCCAAATCCACAAAGTCCCGACCTGCGGCGCCCTCTTCATAACAGCATAATACCCCGTACGATTAACCGCCCTGACGAGCCAACACCCGGCAAGTACACTTATCGTCAACAACAGGAGCTGTACGGAAAGCCAATTCCTCCTGGAGTGGAAAGCGTAGTTTATGGAAAATATCGCTATATCTGATTAGTCACGACAGGGATATATATCCAGCGGGGCTGGTGGGGGGTGGTGTTATACCTGGCGAAGCCTTAATAACCCTCCAGATAATCCCCCTCAAGTCGACTTCTTGACGGTATTGGAGGTGCACGAGGTAGTCGAAGGTGCCCAATAACATGCAGAATGGAACGGTGAGACAGAATGCTTGCATTCCTGGGCCGAAGATTTCTTCCTCTTCGGCTGGGGTAGAGGAGGGGATCGGGGCACCGGAGGGGTCTCGTGGACGGTGGGTGTCTATTATGTCCACTAGGGTTTTTCCGGATGGCGCGTGGCGGGTTGGGGTTTTCAGGGGGATCTCGGTGTAGGTTATCGGTGGGGTGCGGGCACGGGTTGGAGTTTTTTTTGTTCGGGCCATTGTGCAGGGGGTTTTGGTGATGTTGGTTGTGGTGATGGTAGTGATTGTGGTGAATGGAGCTATGGCGGTGGGTTTCAGTGGTGGGACGACGGGAGCTCAAGCTGCGATACCGGTGGTCAGGTTCGGGTTGAGGCTCAAGTACGAGTAGTAACCATTATACCCCTGACCTCTTCATAACAGTATTCGACACCTAAAGATTCACTTTGCGGAACCTCAATCACCACTTTGCTATATAATAAAGGAATTCCAACTCACATTTAACTCTCCCGACAACACATCCCATCCCCCCCCCCAAGGGTCCAGTCCCTCCCAACCACCACCTTCAAAAATGTTCACCATCATCGCCCTCTCCCTTCTTCCCCTGCTGATCTCTGCACTGTGGTGCCTCCCCTCCTCCCCTTCTCTCGCTTCTACAAACTAACAATGGCCAGGCTCTACGCAATCTCAAGCCCAAACTCCCCACCACCTTCCCTCCAAAACACCACAATACACCTCCTCATAGCACACCCGGATGATGAAGCAATGTTCTTCGCACCAACACTGCTAGCCCTAACCTCCCCCTCTCTAAACAACACCCTCAGCGTCCTCTGTCTCTCGACTGGCAACGCTGAGAACCTCGGCCCAATTCGAGAAAAAGAATTAATAGCCAGCTGCGAGATCTTAGGCGTGAATGGAACGCGGGTTCACTCATTTGATCATCCGTACTTACTCCTCCCCGCCTCCGCGCAAGTCTAGGCTAACGGCGGGGCGAGAGCAGTGAACTACAAGACTGCATGACAAAAACCTGGCCCGCCGCCAAGATCTCGGAGATCCTCTCGCGGCACAGCCCCTACGTAATCATAACTTTTGACGAGTCCGGTGTTTCCTCACATCCGAATCACATCTCGCTGCTGCGCGGAGCCGAGGAGTACGTTTCTACCAGGGGGCCCGGGACAAGGTTGTTCACGTTGACCAGCGTGCCGATTTGGAGGAAGTATGCTTTTTTTCTGGATGCGATCGCGGTGAGGTGGTTGGTGGGAGAAGAGGGGAAGGGGATGCGGAGAGTGGTGTTTGTTAGTTCTTGGGCGGGATATGTTAAGGCGAGGAGTGCCATGGTGCAAGCGCACGTTAGCCAGATGAGGTGGTTCAGGTGGGGGTGGATTGGACTTAGTCGGTATATGGTCGTTAATGATTTGGTGGAGAGGTGATGGGGTAATTATATACCCCTGCCGCGTTCCCGCGAGCGTTATATGATATCGTGCGAAAATTCCGGCATTTAGGTAATAACCTACACTCCAAACTTAGGGCTAGGGGTTCTTGACCCTACAAGTAGGAGCAGCGGAGGATAGCCCTACTTGAGAACTACTGGTAAGGGGGCGTTTGGCAAACCATGATTGACGTTTGGAACCTCAACCCAAAACCATGATTTCGGGATAAGAACACGCTTTGGCGGGTTCAACCTGGGTGGCTACGGTTGTTAATCAGGATCTCGCATTTAATAATCTCAATCAGACCCGCTGGGACATGATCTCAAGACCCGAAACCACGATTTCAAATCACAATCATGGTTCTGCCAACACTTTCCCACAAGAGAGCCTTGCTATATCGATAGACACTAAATCCCCCTGAAGGAGTGCCATATAAGGAAAAAGGTTGAAATTGCCTGGCACTCCTAACAGTAGTTACGAGTACTCGAGGGATCCAGGTCTCACGTCCACGCCAATTAGCTCGCGCCATCTCCAGCCAGCGGGAAGGGAAAGAAAGAAAACGCCACAACCGAAGTTCCCGGAAGTGGGAAGGTATCGTGTTATATAGTCTAAAGACCCCCCTACCCCTCCCAACCCACCCACCGGTCCCGTCAGCCCACCCTCCAGAGAGCCAGTTCTAACGGTGAGGTAATCCGCCGGTGAGTGGATGGGTAACCAAGGGACATTATTGCGTCATGGGGAATCACTCGGGTCCACCGGCCCCACCCGGGCTTTCTTAATATGGGTGTCGATACGCGAAAATATGCGAAAATTGGAACGGATTGCCTCTAACCCGGTTTCACCTCCTGAAATAAACAACAGCATCCAAAAGCGCTATAGATAGATAGATAAATGCAGTACGGTAGTAGTGCACATGGACTCTTTTTTGCCACAAGGCCGTGGGAAGGTCTCATACCCTGCAAGTATTATGATACCAGAAGGAAAAAGGATCATAAACGTCAAAAGCGGATCTGTTGCATTACGAGGGGGGAGGGCCAATTTTCGCGTATCGACACCCCCCCGTATCATAGTCACTGCTTTGGTGCCCGTGGGGGTATGATACCGGTACTGTGTGATATTGCAATGTGGTCGGCTCGGGGCTCGCCGTGCATGATAACCTTTTGGTGGCATCCTCTGGGTGGTGAGTTACATGTAAGCGTATTATGCCTGTAAGTTTTGCCTGTAACCGGAGGAGTGGAAGGGGCATTGGACGGGGGGGGGGGGGGGGGTTTCTTTCGTTTTGCACTGTTGGGCTTTGGGTGGAGAAAGTAGGGGTACCGGATTCGGATTTGTGGGTTTGTGGAGGGGGACGGTTTTGGGGAATGGGCTTTTTGAAATTATTGCGGAGAGCGAATCATAATTATGTACTCGTATGTGCTTTACCAGCACAATTGCGGTGCATTCCTCCAACTTTTGTTTTATCCCGGTTTGCTCGGGATGTCGCTGCTTTCTTCTGGCTCTGTTCGTGCTGCCTTGTACGGTACTGTGCGCGCTGTGCGAGCCGTGGCATGACATATGATACACGAATCAAGTAAAATAAAATAAAAAAAGTACGATATTAATTCCCCTCGCGCGCGAATACATACAATGCTCCACAATAGTTGCACCCGCCCAACTACCATACACACACAAAAAGAAGAAAACCTACCTCCCCAATCCCGGGAACCGCCCACCCGCCTCCATCGCCGCCTCCATCCGCGCCCGATGCTCCAAAAAACTCACAGGGGCACCGGGATGATGTCTAAACGCATTGGGTGTTGCCGGCGGGCTTCCTAACGGGATGTCCTGTGCTTGCTCCTCCTCGTGCTGTTCGAGCTGTAACTGCGCTAGTCTTTCCTTCCGCTCCAGTTTTCCGGCTTGATGGCTGACCCAGGAATTCACGCCGCGGAACATAGGCTCGCTGTTGAGGGAGGAGCGGACACTTTTTACGTCGCTGGGGGCCTCCGACGTGACTGTTGTTGTCCAGGAGAAGCGCGAGTCCATTTGTGGCGCGTTGCGTGGGATGGTGTTGGATTCGGGGATTGGTGGCGGAGGGTATATTTGCGCGTATGATTGTGGTCGGTTGTTAGTGGTGGTGGCGGTTCTGGGGGGCTTTCGGGGTTTGATGTTTGAGATGGAGGAGGACTGGGAGGGGCTTAGGAGGGGGTGGTCTGTCATGTACGAGTAGACTGGCGGTGGGAGGGGTAGATCCTCTTGTTGGGGAGAGGAGGGATCTGCATCAGAGGCCCCGTCGTAGAAGGTTCCCTTTTCATCCACTGGGTATGGCGAGGAGACAGGTCGCTTTTCCCGGAGGAGGGAGGTGCGGATCAGAAGGTGCTCGCGTGACCGGTGACGTCCAGGGGAGGTGTCTGGTAGTGCTAGTGCTGGTGGTGGAAAGGGTATTCCGGGAATGGAGTACTTGCGTTCCAAAATTGGTCGTGTGTTGCTGCCGCTACTGAAGATGGTGCTCTGCGGGTATACAGAGGATTTCTCATCGTACGCTATGCCTCCACCCCGGAATCTGTGTGCAGTGCCACGCTTGAAGTTGGCCCTTCGGAATATTCTGCCCCTGGCCTTGTATAGCCAGAAAGCGATTAACGCTACGAATATGAAGGCGGCTATGGGTTTCAATTGAGTCAACAAAATATCATGGCATATCATTGCATGTGGCAAGCATACCAATTGCCCCACCAGCTATCAACAAATTTTTAGCAACGGTGGAAGCACCCTGCTGCCCCTCCACTTTGGCGGGCGACGAGCCCGCCTGTTCCGCAGGATTCCAACCTAAAGTGGTGTTACCAGCGTGAGTTCCTCCTCTGGGGTCTCTACCGACCTAAGACATATTAGCATCACACTCGATCACTCTGCCATGACACAAATCCCTCTCCTTGCAAACCCAGTTAAAACGAGAGAAAAGATAAAAATAAAAATAATACTAATCAACGAGGAATTAAGCTTAAAACGCAAAATAGGCAAAACCAAACTAACCGAAGTCCCTTCAGAATCCACGGACCCGTCCGAATCCCCCCCCTCCGACTTCCCATCCCCATCACTGTCCTCATCCTCGTCCCGTTCGCCGCGCTGAGCAAAAACATCATAATTCCGCCCAGCTACCTCATCAATAACCCTCCCTAGGGACCCGTGTTTCCTCTCCCTCTTCCCTAGCATCACAGCCACGCTCTCGTCCGCCCCCTCCACCACCGGCGATTGCTCGATTGGGAGAGCGGAGATTGATACGGCGAGTAGCCACTCGGCGACATATGCCAGACGTAACTTTTTGGAAATGGACATGGCGAACTGAGCAGTTAAGCTGTCGCGATTTTCTCTCCCTCTCTCTCTCTCCCCTTTTTTTTTCTTCTAAATCGGTTCTAGGTTGGTTTGGTCGTTTATGACGGTCCGGCCGTGAGGGATCTATTATACCTTGGTTTGGATGAGATGAGATGAGATAGATGAGGACGCAAAGAAAGTATTGAAAATTATTATATAAAAATGTAATAATGCAGAAGAGAAGGAAAGAAAGAGCAGAATAAAATAAAATAAAATAGAAAGAAGGAAAGAAAGAAGCCAGTCTTTTCAAGATCGAACCGGTCGAGAGAGAACGTAAGGGAGGGGGGGGGGGGGGGAAGAAAGGATGGACAGGAGGTGAGAGGAAGAGGGAGAGGTGGCGATGAGTAGAGAAGGGGGGGGAGGAAGGAAAAGGGAGGGGATAAAAGTTAGAGAGAAGGATAGTCTAGAGTCTATCCTCAGGAGGTAAGACACCCGTCTATCTATCTGTCCACACTGCACTCCAGTACAGTACTGGTACCGTATTATATTATACTATACACTACCATGCAAGCCCATTACTGTACGAGTACTGCCAGTACCTGTAGTCTATGCACCACACCCAGAGTTACACGAACAACCATTATCATCCTTGAATACGCATATCCCAAGGGGCTTGCGCAAGAAAAAAGAAGGCAACCATCATAGCGCACGATGGTCGAGTGGGTACGGTAGGACCATAACCCACCTTCACGGCGGTACATGTACTGTACAGTACCTACCATTGCGAGCGAGCCGAGCCAACCCCATACAAAACCCGGGGGTGAGTGAGTAGCGGGGTGGGATTCCCGCGACCCTGGTGAAACAGCCCCCGTCACGGGGAGGGAAAACCTATGAAACAAAGACCACCATACGGTTCCATTGCGGTGCCATATCATTGCAGTATGTACAACGCCATTCTATACACCTCCTGGACGCGGGGGATGAAGAAGAAGTATAAGGATAAGAAGCAGGACACCCCCCTTATGCGTGATTGGGTAAGCGAAAGGGTGTAGAGGCGCCGTGTTACCAATAGTGCACCAAGTGCCGTTCACAAGCCGTTTGGTCAGTTTCCAAGCAACAGAGTCAACGGCTGCTGGTACGGCAATGGTACGAAATTGAGTGAGGGTTGAGAGCTACGGTAACTTATGCTATAATACTACGGGTCTTGTAGCACTCGAGTGCCGGTATGATACTCGTACAATATGTTGTCGGTATCATAGTAACGTCCTACTGCACTAGTACTCGTGCATAATTTAGCATCGCCGCGAACATTGCCGGTGCGGTGGTCTGGTCTGGTCTGGTCTGGTCTGGTCTGGTCTGGTCTGGTCTGGTCTGCTCGAGCAAGGGCGCTCGGTAGGTACCCCGTACCGGTAGCCCACAAATACTGACAAACCTAACCGCCCATTATCACCCCTAAAAATGGCACAGACGTAAACCCCCCCCCCCTCCCCCCCATCCTATCAAAGCACCTCAGCACCGACCACCAGCCGCCATCACTTAGCCCTACCAAGAAAGGACTCTCTCTTACCATATATCATATTATATGATAATAATATTATGATACCTAGCACCGCGCTCCGAACACAATCGCCGCCTATGATAATTTCCGACGGGTGGTGAGTATGATATGGTTGGTCTCCGGGTCTCGCCAGAGATCTCCCCGACGATGAACACATTTGCACCGTCGTCGGGGGTACTGCATGGTGAGGTGAGTGCCCTTGGATACCGAAGGGAGAAAGTGCTTTTTGCGGAAGCACGGTAGTAAAGGTCGCATTTGATGCGCGATAACAAGCAAGAAGGCGAGCGAGCCAGCGAGCGTAGATCTCACATATGTCGCCTTGCCCCGCCAGCCTGCTCACTGCCGTGCTGTGTCGTCCTGCACGGGTAGGCGCTGTGGTGTACTGTGCTCGTACGGTACGGTACAGTACGTATGCTATTATATTTGATATGGCACGGTACGACACACAGTGTCATACAGTCTGACGACATATTCGGCCCTCGGTCGTGAGGCACCACACTGCAGAGTACCGGTACCTTCTTTATAGAAGAATATCAAATTGAATCGCCCCTCATCGGGGCGCAAAGGTGAGATGCCCCAGCGATCCGTAGGAGCCTTTGTCACCTTTCTCCACTCAACACGGAAGCCGGAAGGGGGATTCTTCCGTTTGTGGGGCGTGTGCTGTGTGCGAAGAAACATTCCCCTGTTGGAGTGCCGGTACTTGTATCCTATCCGTCCTCTCCTATCCCAACCCATAATACCATACTCACAAATTCTGTAAACACGGTGGTAAAAAGAAAACAAAACAAAAAAAAAACACCTGGTGAAAAAAATTTGCATCGCACTTCGCCGCCAGTGCCCCTCATGAAGAAAGAAGGTTGGGATTGAGATGTTTCTCTTTTTCTTTTGGCAATATCTTTCCCACTATCTACCGTCCCGACCCAACCCAAATCTACTCCTGTACTGTACAAACAAAAAGAACCCAGATAAACAAGAGCCCCACCTGAAAACCCTCTATAATTTATGATGTCCGAGTATGATGTGAAATGAAATAGCAAAAAAAAAAAAAACCCCCTCTTGCGCTTCAAAGGAAAGCAAGGAAAAGGGAGAGATCAAGGGGAAAATGTGCAAAACGAACGGGTAACCAAGGCGAAAAGAGATGAAGGAAGGAAGGGAAAAATAGAAAAGAAATTCATAACCTTCGTATAATTCTCATCCCGAGAACCGCCCCAAAAAAAAAGAGCCGGTAAACTGATAAATAAAAATAACCACAACCCAGAGAAAGTAGAATATTATGAATACACCCAATTTCTAATAGAAAATAAGAAGCAAACTCCCAGACGTGAAAAGGAAAACCCTACAACAGGAACTAGGGGTTTAGGGAATAACAGAATGCCCCCTGGACCAATATTCAGAAGGTGTTGGGAAATATGAACACCGGGGGATGCGTAGGGGGGTGAGTGGGGAAGAATGGTAAAGGAGATAACGAACGAAATAGGGAAAAAGATTGCACTTGGACGGGAGGTCTGTCTATTGTGCTCGGTTGGATATTCCAAGAGGCTCCCACCTCCGCCTCTCATCCATGCTCCGAGCGTTCCGACCCCCCGGTGTCAAAGGCGGCATTAACCGCCCATGATCACCGTTTACAAGTTCGTCATCTGTGTCGTCATCCCCGGCTGTCTCGTCTGCGAGACGCTGGAAGTAATCTGCGAGTCCTTCCTCCCCCAATACTACAGACTCGTACCTCGGTGGAGGAGTGATGAGCGGTGGAGGAGCAACATCATAGTCAAATGGAGGAGGATTGTGCGATGGGTAACGAATGAGATGGAGCGGCCTAGCAACCTCATTGGGAGGTTCTGGTTGACCCGAAGATAAGTGTCCTACTTGTGTATCCACATTTAACGTCGGTGGTCCGTCTCTCGGTGAATTCCTTCGAGTCAAAGGGGGGCACGAGCATTGGGTGCCGGAAGATGCAATTCCGGGGTTAGGACTGTTGTATGCTGGAAGAGCTGTGTTCGCGCCTGCTGCTCGGCATGACAGAATATGTAACGGAGAGTCAATGGAGATCTCAAAATGACGTCGCTTCCCAGGGTCGTTGGGATCGGCTTTGCTCAGTCGCATCACAATCTAACAAATGAGAAACAAAATAAATAAATAATTAGTTTCCAAGACATTACAAATAAGCGATAACATGGATTACGAGAAGAAAAGAAAAGAAAAGAAGGAAAACCCACCTTGATCCAATGATGCACTTGAATATTCTGATATGTCGTATCGAAGTGTATCCGATCCTTTTCCTTCACGTTGCAACCGGGCAACTGCACGGCCAGCTCCATCTCTGTCGGCCCAATATTATCCTGCCCAGTGAGATCTCCGAGCAAACTATCCGACCCATTACTTCCGTCCAGACCGATGCCGCCAGCAACCTGCTCCCCACTGAATCCCCCTCCAGCAAGTATTCGTGCAGAAGATCCAGCAAAAGCAGAAGTCGGTGGTCCATCAGCCCTCTTCTCAAACAATTGGACCTTCCGCGTGGGGTCCAGCCTATGAATCTTCTTGTTCCTGCAAGAGTACCCGATATTCTCCGTGATAAAGATTTTGATCCGGTGACACCGCACTTTAGCCAAGGGCGTAAGTTTAAACGCTATCGGTATCGCTGAACCCAACGGAAAGGATTTCCCCGATATTACAATATCGTAGTGCAACTGATCCTCCCAAGTTCGACTAATGGCGATGGGCTCTGAACATTCCAGACTCGTCTCGGCAGGGCATCGGATCAAGATTACATCCCTCTTCCCAACCAAATTTGGCCGGAAAGCGCCGGGCCTCTCTATTGTACCTTCTAATTCATACTTGACAGTCCCGAGATCGACGTCAATAGTCTCCGGCAGACAGCTTTCAATGGGCAACTCAAAGTTGTAAACGTAGTCACCGGGTTGGAAGATTCGGTAGCCGCGCTGGGCAACTGATACCCCATTCGGCGACTCTCCCTTGCTAAAACTCCGGGATTGCGCGAGCTGTAAGGAAAGCCTACGATCAGTAGAACAACCGCCCAAGGCCGGCGAGATCCCGATAGGGGAGGCCGAACGTGCCAAATACACTATTGCAGAGGTTATAGATGACGTGCTATCCGAAGAGCTTTTGTAGAGCCGACACGAGTCGGCGCCATGACCCAGCTCTGCTGTTGCAAACTGTGCGTTGAAAAACGGCCAAATGTGTTGCATAATCTCCTTCTCCTCAAAGTATTCAGACTTTTTGGGCGGTATACCTAGGGTATAGCTCAGTAATTGGTTCGATAGCTTCTTGAATCCGGGAATCAGGGTGGCTATACCTTCAGGCCATTCGGTCCTAGCCCTCCCCCGGAAGGCAAGACTGACCGTCTTTATTTTTGTTGGCTTCGAAATTCTCAGTAACAAACTCCCGCGTAACATTGCTGGTGTCCTGTTGGAGTGATCGCTTTGGTCAAATCCTTGCAAAAATAGCATCGGCTCTGCCAGCTGGATTGTCATGGTAACTGCTCCTCCACTTGTGGAAGCCTGAGGCTTCTCTGACGTCAGAGGCGCAATATCTCCATTGACATCGCGCAAACCATTGCCATGCCTGCCCTCGAAGTTTTGTGAGGGCACTGATGTTAATATTGCGGGCGTAGGGCGAACAGGAGCGGACGAATTTCTAGCATGGTGCGAGGGAATGCCCGAATTTCCTCCACCAATTAGCCTCTCTGTTCCTACAGGCATTGGGGGCGAAGCGGGCGGTCGAGATGAAGTTCTCCGGGAGCAAAAAGCTGAGGGTGAAGATACGGCCGAGGGGAACAACCTTTTCGCAACAGCTAAAGGGGTCCTTTGTATTCTCCGGCCAATGGACTCTGTGGAAGAATATGCAGAAGATTGTAGGGACGGGCCTTGGACCGCGTGAATCGCGTGGGCTGGAGCTGTAGATGTCATCATGTCGGTAAACGGTTCTCTTTCTCTATTTTTCTCTCCCTCTCTCTCAAAGTTCCAATAGATTTCAATATGGTAGGGAACTCTCGTAATGCCAGCCAACAACAACAAGCAGTAGCAACAACAGCGTTCCAGGTTCTGTTCCAGAAACCCTCCTGACGGAAATGCAAGGGAGGCAAAGGAAACAAATGAATGAATGATCGGACGAAGCTCAAGGGGGAGGGGGGGGGGGGCAAGAAGCCGGGGAAGAGTGCACAAAAAGGGTGGGGGGTTCAAGCCTACATATAAACTCTGTGCCGAACTTTTGTTAAGAAAGGCAGGATACCCACGTCTCCGACGTATAAACAGAACGCACCGGAGCGAATGGTGCGGGAAGGTGAGGAAAAGGAAGGAAGGAGGGAGGGGAAAGGGTGTGAGTGAGCAGTGAGCAGTGAACGAACGAACGAAAGATCAGTTAGGGATGGGCAAAGAGGCGTGAGAAGTGAGCACGGGTGGCACGCTGGGCGGCTTTCGGGCTCCCGGTTTCCCTCTGACCCTCCTGCCAGCTGCCCTGTTGTGTGCTGTGTCGAGCACCGGTAAGTGTGGATCAAGCATTCATCCAGAATAGTACGGTATGCGTGTTGGAAGCATGGTTCCCTGAGTAGCCAAACGATTCCTTACAGGTAGCAAAGTAAGTACGGTACGAGTATCATAACCTGGCCCATCCTGCTCCTCTCTCGGAGGGATCCACTCTTCACCCTCCGGACCGGGGGGTCAGTCACCCTTTCATCCTTCGTCAGTTGGACGGTCGCAAACCAGCATAAAAACCAATCTATCCATCCGCTGGCCCTGGAGCAGTCTTTCCGGGCGCAACCTACAAAACCTGCGACAGGCGCCATGGCTCCGAGTTATGGTGCGGAGCAGTGGAATGGAAGGTTTGCTAGCGAGCCTTTGCCGCTATGCATACCAAGCGACAACGGCGGAGACCGCAGGAGTGTACCACAGCATTGTTGGGGCGGACATTAAATCTACAATTCGGCAATCTCTGCAAAATCTCTGACCGCATGATAGTTGGCATGAACCTTGGACACAGCCTCTACCATGCACGAGTAAGTCGGGATGGCCCAGTAAAAGTGGGAAATATTCTGCTGGACACAGTCAAAGAGACCGGGCTCGAACAGGGCAGAGGAAACGGGTTTTCTCCACCGCCATTCGGTACTCGAGCACTGTGCCAGCGAGCACAGTACCGGTACCCAAAAGGCTGCAATACCGGTACTATCCCGTACTCGAGTGTTGCAGGCCTATGATAAAATTTCACACACACACACGCCTACACACACACCTTCCGTTCCAGATCACTTTCTGGTAATCCAGTAACAGAGCGGGATCGCGGCGGGTGGATATTATATTTGTATCCACACTGGAAACCGCACTGGATATCTGGTTCCTATGTGCTCGAGTACAGTACAGTGCTCACCGTACTCGTACTAGTATAGTACCGTATGATACGGTAACAAAATAACTCTGACCCTCCCGAGCGCACCGAATGCCAAAATTATGCGCCATCAACCTCCTCTTCCAACCGCCATTCCAACAACTGGGCTTGGAGGGATGCATCTTCCCCCTCCTCTTCCTCCAGACCTTGCACTCTTTCTCCCCTGCCCGCCTTCTCGCCCCGTCCACTCACTTTGCCCCCCTCGCCCATTTGATAATTTCGTCCCTGATTCCCGGATATGCGGCGCGACGCATGACATCAGAAATGGAGGGTCAGTCCATTCCCAACCATTTGCACGTTACGCGCACACCACACCCCGACATCTGGTTTCCTCAATATTCAGTGGACCAAAATATCACGGTGCCTTGCCGTGGCCGTTTATCTTGCTCGGGTGCCGTACGGTACTCGAGTACCGGTACTCTACGAGCGCTGTACTGTACCGTAGTTCATGCCCTGGATTCCCCCTCTTGGCGCTATGGTTCCCTGTTATGATACAACTATGAATATGATAGACAACGCACCAACCCTCCCGTGCCCAGTGACCGAGAAACAACAATGATATCGGTAACAACAAACAGGGAACACGCTCAACCCTCGGCCAGGGTTCTGCACCGGTGGAACAGGAATTCCGAACCTTTGTACCCCCCTGTTCTTTTCTTTTCTTTTCGTCTCTCTCTCTTTTTTTTTCTTCTCTTGCGTGTGTTCTTTCGTCTCCCCGCCCACTCACAATCCAACAGCTCGAAAAGCTTCCAAGACCCAAGACCCAGGACCCTCTCTCTCTTCTGCTTGAGTGCCGTTCCGGCTCCAGTATCAAGATTGCGTGCCAGTATCTGACATACCGGTACGGGTATTCCGGAAATCTATCAAAACGGGGCTCCCCCCGAGACGACCCCTCTACTCTCACGTGCACTCGTAGGCACACAAAATGGACCAGGGCCCGAGTCATGGGGAAGCCTCCTCTGTCCCGATCACCCCCCCCCCAAAAAAAAACCTAATGACATGATAACAAAGGACTCCCTGCCCCTACCCGTAAGCAAGAAGTTTACAGTGCTGCAAGACCCTAAATCGGACCCAATCCATCCATGCCCGTGCCTCGTGGGGCAACCGTGCGGGGATAATACGTGTATCATAGGATCGCCGGCACCCCACGTTAGTTTCCGGGGACTGGCATGTCTGGTTCACCCTGCCTCAGTAGACAGGCACTCTGCCGGTGCCGGTGCGCCCTTGATCCAATGTGTCGTCGTGACCAGGAGATCTGGTCAAGAAAAGAACGAGGACCGGAATGTATCCTTCCTCGGCTGGAAATAGATTACAAGAGATTCAAACTAAGACCTTTTTCACAGGTACTCGTACTCGAGTACCGGTACTAGTACTTGTATGAATGCCCATTTATTGGGCCCCCTGATAATAGAGCAAGGGAAAGCTTTTTTTAAGCCAAGACATCTGCGACATCGACATCTCTCCCTCCACTTGCCGCACAATACAGTACGCCTCGCCTCGGATCGAACGCGCCCAACTTCTCCAGCACTTGTGTGAACTTCGGATCCAAACATCTATTCTTCTCAAAAGGAAACCTTTCTGTTCCGTGTTTCCTTCATCCAGAACATGATCCCTCTCGATTACGATGAACAACAAAAAGGTTTTATCACGGGGGCTACAAAGATCCGATTCTGGGCGATTTGTAAAAAGTCCGAATCCGGGGACCGTTCTATCCGACACTCTAGACTGCACACCGGTAGCGAGTGAGGAAAAAGTGGAAAAAAAATGCCCTCAGCGTGTTGGCAGACGTTCTAACTACCGGTAGTGGACTAGTGCAAAGCAACTTCCAATACGGTAGCTTTGCTTCCGACAGATTCTCAACGGGAACACTCCCGCATCGGATAAGTATGGAATCCTATCATCTCGTCCTATCCTATCCGTCGAAAGAAGAGAGGAAAAGAAGACGGCTCATCAAAATCTCGCGTCCTGTCCCCCCCCCCCCCCAAAAAAAAAAAAAAACTACCCCATCCCATAAGGGGGATTATGACTCGACCCTCAATTGCAGCAGGACCCGTCGAGCCGGATTTCTGGCCCTTGACTCTCGACACGAACGATTTACTAATCCGGAAGGAAATGGATGCAAGGGAAAGTCCATCCTTCCAACGTCGGCAACATGTAGTCCCTCCCTTCCTTGCTTCTCTCCTTCACCTAAAGGCTGAAGCACCCCAGAATCCGAAGAAAAGAGAAAAAGTCAATTACACGGTTACCGAGCAAACCCGGGCATCATTATGTTCTTTTATGGATCAAACACTGTTCACGGATACACAAGTATGATACCAGTAAGTTAATATGGCGCGATGTGATGGCTTGATTCATTTCCATCACGACCGCGGCCGGGGGGCGTGCTCCCGTGGGCCCTAAGCACAAAGCCTGAACAGTGGGGCACGTAATCGAATTACCAGTGCCGGTATTGTGCCACAGGGTCCCACTCAACACTCTCCTGGGAGTCCCTTACCCTGCCGGTACTAAATTATCCATTATCCCGCGGCCTACCGTGAAGCCGGCAACAACCACCACAATGCCACCGCTCCGCCCAACCAGCCAAAAGCCGGGGAAATATAAATTTCCAAATACTTGACCGTTTGTCTCTCTATGCGCGAGATGGGGCGCGACTGCCCCGCCCAACTCTCACCGCAGATTCAGGCATCTTACAGCACCTACCATACATCGAAGCCCATCTCACACTATAGACTACTGTACTCCAGTATCATAATATTATTACCCCCCTTCCATTCCATCCCTTCCCCATGCATCCCCTCTGCGAACCTACCGTACTTTCCGTCTTCACATCACCCTGTGTAATTGTAACAACAGCCCTACCGTACCTACAAGTACTCGTACAAGTACCGGTATCAGAACCCGTCACCCAACATCCGCCAAGCAAACCTCGGCTGCGAGGCCGTGCCCAGCCAATTCTCGAACCACAAACCTCCTCCTGAGAATGTCACGATGCCGAAGAGCATTGGTAAAAGTCGGCAGCGCTGGGGGCGTAGGCGTCCAATCCAACAGCCAAGAGATAGTAGCACCGCCTTGAAGTTGCTGCGCTGCAGAACATGCTGTACGGTACTCGAGTACAGTATTCGTGCTCTGCATAACACGAGGTTCGCTGTGGACGGACATGACACCCACTCCGCTTGGCGAGACAACCATCCAGACCGATGACGGACAACCCTACGGACAGAAAGCCTGCCGCATTGACGCTAGCTGGGTGAGGAGAAAGAGAAAGAAAGAAAGAAAGAAAGAAAGAAAGAAAGAAAGAAGGGGAAAAAAGGAAAGGAAAGGCCGTTACCAGTGTTTTGCGCAGTAGCGGAAAAACTCGAAAGTACTCGTAGAGAATCAGAATCAGAAAAAGAAAAAAAGCCTTTTTCCTCACTTTTGGTCGTTTCGATCATGAAAAATGGTTCATCCCGGTAACGAATTCCGAAACCCCAGAGCATTGACAAGCGATACGTGGAGTTTCGGAGACTTGAAGCCTCGTGCGCAATGACACAGCGGTGGAGTAAGGATTTTTGATTTTTTTTTCTGGCCGACGATTCGACAAGTAAAAGGGAAGGCAAACGCAGGCTACCAACCAACCAGACACATGGAATAGAATTACCGTGCCGAACACTTCGTTCCAGCCGTATGCGTCCGGTCGAGGGTGGAGGCGACGCAGGCCAAACATTGAGTTCCATTGGGCAGGAAGTTGACGGTTGATCGCTTACACTTCTTTTCACACATTCTAATTCTGATACTGTACCGGTACCCTCCCCGCTGCGTGAGTGAGTGGGTGAGCGGCGTATCATACAATGGTTTTTCTCGGGAGGGGGGTTAAGTGCGAAACAGTGCTTGGGGGGGGGGGGGGGGTAAAGGGAAAAAGCATTACAGTAAAATAACTCCTTTGCCTGCTACGGCTCAGCTGGTGCACTGTACGAGTACGGTACCGGTATGATATAATACAGTAATGTCTTGTACTCGAGTACCGCATATGGCGTAAACATCCTCACCTTATCGCGCTGTAACAAACTAATATTATTTGTATTTACAGTATTCCCCGAACCGGGGCCCCACGATACCGGTAATTAACTTAATCCCATCCCATCCCACAAATACGAAGGGCTAATCCTCCCCTACAAGTAAAACAGAGGTGCAGCACTTCGGACCCATGGGCAATGCTGCCACTCTCCACGAGTACTCGTAGTCTGTCGTCATCTTCCTATCACTAGTTTTGTTTCCTTACCGTATTTGACGGTCCCCCGATGGCGCTAAGAGGGGGCAATATAATTTAACTGTCATCCTTGCCGCAGCTCCCCCGGCGGACCCACACATGACGATTGGATAGATGGATACTCTAGAATATGGGACTGCACGTTTGGGGCTGTGCTGGACTGGCATACCGTACTTGTACAGAGTACGGACGGGCTTGGATCCGCTGAATACTTGCACCGGTACGGGGAAGTCTTGCGTATGATGCGTGTCCTTCAAAACGTACACGAGGCTGAAATACCGGTGTTACATGTGGCTGTGTAAAAATACTGCCAAGACCTGATTATATAAACAGCTAGTAAAGAAAAAATTAGGGTTTATGTTAAAGGATTTGGATTATCAAGGCTGCTTTTAGCCTGAGTGTGAGGATTGTATTAGACAGTCTCTATTATGTCTTTCTAACTTCAGGTCTAGATAGTTTGTAACATGCCTATGACTTTGCAACATTATTATGGACCACTACTGTGATGTCATATCATATTATACTAGGTAATCAGAATTATTATTATAGCAAGAAAGTGATTTCTGGATTATGACATAGGTATAGGGCATATATTAAGTATAGTTAGGTTTAGAATAAGAAAACCTCTACTCGAGTATTTGCAAGGCCAAGAATTTGATTGCTCAGCATTTTAGAGTGTGGCTGATGTATGTAACACCTTTCAGACTTTTCCACCAAAAAAAACAAAATTTCAAATCCTGTTGTGTCAACAACCACTCCTGTAATCACCAAAAAAAAAACAGGCATTATTCTTTGTCTTCTCTTCTTTATTGCCTCGTTTTTTTTTTTTGTGATTGAAGGAGTGGTTGTTGACGCAACAGGATTTGAAAAGTATCTAATTTCTGGTGTACATTTTGAATGGCACGCACCATACCTGGATGCCTGTTTCGATAGGGCTCACGGTATGTATGATACCGTACTCGTACCGTTATGTCCGGGATTATATAATACCCGGTGGAAAAGTCCCGGGCCCTCTCTCTCCTCCCCATTGGCGGCAGGTGGGCACAGTGCTGGTATCATACAATACCGTACTCTACACGTACGCCACTCGAGAACTTGTGGACGGGCTCGCAGTTGTGGGGTTGTGCTATTATACTTGTGGCCTTTGGTATTAGTCTATGGTATACTGCGTCTTACTTGTCGGCGATATCAAGTTTGTTGATGATTCTGATCTTGTTGTGCGTCGTGCTATGCAGTGAGTGCATGAGTAGCGGACGAGGTTTGGAGTACTGTATGATACCTCATGGAATTTGGTTAACAGTGAAATCCTAACCCGGATTCACAAGTGTCTATCCACCGTAGGGGAATTTGCGACTCTGGTATGAGATGGACTGCTCGCTTGTTATCATGTGGAAGGAAAACCGTACGGTATGTTACCATACGAGTTTTCTGTTCCGGGAGCGGGTTCCCTGCTTCAACCCGAGCGACTGGTTGTGACAGTTTGTGCATGTACAGTATCATACCAATAGTAGCATAAGAAAGTTCTTTTTAATCATGAAAAATCACTCAGTGTTCACACAAGTTTTTTGTACCCTTTTTCTTCAAGATGCTTTTGTGAGACAGTGGAGTGTGGTTGTAGCGACTATCTAGGTTGGGCACCGGGGGTTCGCCGAGACACTTTCCGGTATTATTATTATTACTATTTTTTTTTTTAAAAAAATACCTGTACCGGTAGGCGAGTCTATCCACGAGACTGCTGGATTCAGTTGTCTTCAGTCTTTCAAGCTGGGGCATCTACCCGTACTGTACCGTAGTTTAATCGATAAAGAGGAATGGCGTTATCGCCATCTTATCGTTATTCCTCCTTATCTGATCCAAGCCAAGCCAACACGTTCTGCCCTGTGACACGATTCCTCGTCCTCCGTAACCTAACACTTTTTGAGGCGGAACGCGAAACCCCGAACCTTCGATCTGATCTTTCTCCGCCTTTTTCCTCACTCCCCATTAACTTAAAGGAAGGAAGATCCCCGCACGATTTCTTTTCATCCTCCCCCCCTCCACGAGCACTCGAATATGGCCGATCAGGCTGATATCTCGCGACACTCTCATCCGCTCAGCGGTATTGTGATATGCTGCACTTCTGTGCCTGCAGAGTTCCGCGTCAGTATTTTGCCTCTGATTTCGTTCTCACTTTTCCTCTTGCCCTCCTCCCTCCCTCCATCCCTCCCTCCCCTTTTAGCTGACAAT